AATATGTAATGATATCGTTGTCATAATTACGTAAATATAAGCTTATTTTCATTTTTAAATTACGTATTTATGATGGATTGTTATAAAGACGTATTCGATTATTTTAGTTGGTTTTTAAAAATAAAGAACATTTTTTTATTGTAGGTATTTGTAGCTGCGTGAAATTAAAAAAGATTCGTTTTTATTTATTGTTCGTATGAAAGCGTTTTTGTACACGTCATTATGTTAGCTAGTTACGGAAAATATCATAAAAACAAGCAGTATTAAAATTTCTGTTAACAAAATATGGGACAGTTAATAATGAAGTAGGTATGTAGGTTCTGTGACTAATAAATCGGGCAAAGACACAAATATGTACAGCTTTTCGGAAAAAAAAGAAAATAAAAATATAACCTTACCCTTGACAAATTCAATCCACTTTTTAAATAAAATAAAACCAACACTATCACTTCACTGCACGGCACTTAAAAATCTATGCGTATTTTAAAGGGTAGACGCGGCAAAAACGGGACCGCTGTCCGTCTAGAGTCGGCAACGCAACTGCCCGGGTCTGCGTCGTCGAGCAATCGATCGCTGTGCGCAGGTCCAGTCGAGCCAGCGTCACTTTACCTCCCCAATATCTTATGTATGAAAGTGCTACACAGGAGGAAAAAGTGAATAAAGCACTCGTACTTTAACATAGCCTGCAATGTTATTTTACAATATTTTCACATATTTACAGGCATTTTTATAGGGAAATGTTGGTCTGCCTCAGTCGAAAGGAAGATGAAAGTCGACAGCCGAAATTTGTTATTCGTGTCACGTGTCGACTCGACTTGACAAAGTGTTCGCTTTTCAGCTATTTTTTTTGTAACCATCGCAATGATATTGGTCGCGTATACATTTTAGTAAAGCGAAAAAAATCTATACTTATAATAAATCTGTAGAGAGGTCAATTCTGTACATAAAATATATTTAAAAAATAACTATCAAGGGGTGGTTAGGGATCGCTTCTGATGCCAAAAATGCAATCAGTAAAATTTTTGTCTGTCTGTCTGTCTGTCTGTATGTTCGTTATGGAAACAAAAACTACTCGACAGATTTTAACGAAATTTAGCACAATTATTCTTCATACTCTTGGGCAGGTTATAGTATACTTTTCATTACGCTACGATCAATAGGAGCAGAGCAGTGAAGGGAAATATTGGGAAAACAGGAGAAGTTACTCCATTTTTTAAGCTTCCATCGCGTGTGCAGGCTTAATAGTTAAAGCTACATAGAAATCATGTATGACGGAAATGTTCTGCATAAAATTATCTAAATAATATCCCACAACAGGACATGTCTATCTTTTATGGTTGACGTACAATAACACGTGTAACTCCCGATAGCTTAGCAGTTCGGAGCTTTCTGCTTATATTTGTTTACTCTTACGTTTACAATACTCATCCATAGACTTTACGTTGTAACTGTAGGGTCGATGGCTGAAATTAGCTTGACTCGATATTATAAATGTGGAAATATGAGCTTATGTGTTTGTGTATGTTTGTTACTCAGTCATATTAAAACGACTGAAGGGACCGGAATGAAATTCGGAACAGAGGTAGAGTATGGTGTGAAGTAATAAGTTGGCATTTTTCCCCTGGAATCGCGGGCGAAGCCGCTGGCAGAAGCTAGTTGCTAGTAAATTGGCAAGGGTATTGTTGTTTATGAGTATTTAGGTAATAAATATTTCAATGAATTATTTTTATATATTATATTATCTATTTCAGTATATAGTAGCAACGACCTATAATATAATTTTCCCCTGAAACAGCGCCTTTGATAATAATATAATCAGTTCTGCGTATCTTAAGATTGAAGTAAAACCAAGTTATTTAGTTAGTATGAGTTAGAACCTAATCGCTATTAAATTTCGTCCTTTTAAACTTGGTAATGAAAGACAATGAGCCTTGTTTCACAAGTTTTATAATATTCCATTATTCTAGATTTTATTAATGGTCCAATTTTCGTAAAGTTGATGACTAACCATGATTTTTGACGTGACATTAGAACTAGACTGTTTGTTTCATCTATCATAAAGCCGTTTATCTATTATAACATCAATATTTTGCTTTAAAAAAAAGCTTACCACAGATATAGGTCTGGTAGTATCATATTTACAGCTCACAAAAACTATAGTTTCTAAAACAAAATAAAATATGCTGACTATTAAATTCCCAACAAATTAAACAAAAGAGATATCTAGCATATAGTCACAAACGTTCCAGCAAAAATGTAGGTCAGTGATAGTTAAAATGTTACACTAAAATTAATGAAGCTCCTCGTTAGGCTTGATAAAAAATGTGTACATTTTATTACAATATAAATTCTATACGACTCTAATATAGAAAGGTATACGAACATAATTATAAGGAACATGAGGTATGAATAAATGAGCAGTTATTGTGTGTAACAACGCGGTTGGAAAAAGGCGAACATGATGCCACTAACAAATGATTGAAGCACCAAAATGTCAGTGGTGTATTTATGTGTGAGTGTGTAATGGGGTTTTTTTAAGGGGGGAAAATCATCGAATGACTGCTCCCGCCTGGGTGAGGCGGGAGGGAGTGTCAGACTCTTACTGACTAAAAACCACCCCGTTCCTTCTCCTGCACGTCGAGCCGGAGCCCCGGTTACCCGTTAGGTTCTCCGCGACTAGTAATGGGTTACCACGTTACCAGACTTAAGAAAATGACAGATGTCCTTCGTGTCAGTGTGTGTATGTTTTGCGTGTAAGTCTATAGTAACAGGGTGCCACAATCGTTGTTTCAAAAGTCTGTGACTGTGTGACGTCGATGGCACATCATGGATGTCATGCAGTCATGCATCATGAAAAAATGACACACGTCCATTCCACAGAATAATAAAAATCATTTGAATTTTCTAACGACAAGGACAGTGTGCCGAACCTGCCTATTACAACCTTTTTAATTATAGTTAATTAAAGTAATTGGAGAATAAAAGCTGTACGTACGCCATCCAATCCTGCTTCATAGCAGTAAACCAAAATCTAATTGAATGAACAAATAATTCATGAAAGTTATTTTAATATACAAAACATATA